ATATACATACAGTTTATACACGTTCAATTTCAGTAGAAAAACAACACTGATTTAGAAAACATAAATGCATACCAGTTTTCTCACTGTAGAGTATTTTTTTAATCAACCAAATACAAAATGTAAAGGCTTTAAATTATACAAAAGAACCACGTTTTTGTAGCGTCATAGGTCAAAAAAGACTGGGATGTAATCTCTGATTCTACGGGAGATGATGTAGGGTCGGAGCAATATGACCACATACTGTTTATTGTGAGCTGATCATGAGTATCAGACGTTTTTGTCATAATGCAACCACGTTGCAATCGTAATTTTGGAAAAGAATTGGTTATTTTGTTCAAAAACAGTTCCTCAATTGATTTTCCAAGAAGATTTACTTTAATCGTGATATAAACTGATACCACCGGATAAAGGAATTTACCACCTAACATCCTATCTTTATTTAGAGGTAGAAAACAAACCATTTTAGTGAGTCCTCGCCACTGAATAGCTGCACATTATGCATGGCTTCACAAATAGCACAGGTATTCAATCAATCAATCAAACTTTATTTTAGATCCAGGGTCCAGATAAAACGGGACATTACATTGAATAAATTACATACAAAAGCACAAGAATAGAGTACATAGGCCTACCAACGCCTTACAAAGAGCCTCCACAGCTGGTCCTATTTAAGCCTATTGTGCCACTATATGACACCACCACACCTCTCCATCAAGTTTTCCAGGCTCGTAGCTTAGTTTCAGGCATTATACCCCCCCGCCCCCCCCTTTTTTTTTTTGTGATGCGTTGTCTGGGTGAGATTTCCAGAAGACAGATTCCAATTCAACCAGTCTAACCTGAACAGGTAACCTAAAGAGGGGGTGGTACTTTAAAAAAAAACACTTATCGTTTTATACATTTCATTCTTATTTCATGTTAAATTACGTTTTTTTTATAGCAGCAGTGCAGATGGGTAAAAACTGAACACCATGTGACGATACCAGGAAGACTAGTGGCCTCTACACACACTAATTACTTCCATACTGCGATACTGTATATTAACAAGAGGAGCATTGTTCCAGTGGTATTGACATAAAGTTAATTTTAACTTTCGATAAGAACATATGTCCCTACTGTTCAACTATTCAAATATAGCTTGATTTACATGTCCTTCTCATATTACACGACGAGGGAGGACATTGATTCGTCGAGCGGGAGCTCCGGCTCTCTCCAGTTGGCTGGGTTGTACACGTCAGCAGTCAATAAGTTGGAACCAAGATGTATCACCGTCCCGTCATCCTCTTCCTGGTATGAGGAGCGTGTTGACACATAACACCTCGTTTGGTGAGTCAAATTAAGCTAGCTGCGGCACATAGCTTCCTTTTTAACGCCGAATTAGCACATATCTTGTATTTAATGCGCACCCACTCCGTTCGCTTTGTTTTACTTTGTTCTTCTTCTTTCCAACAGGTGGAAAAACCAAGCGGCCCCAGCGACTGTTTGGCAAATGGCACGGGTTTCAAGTGCAGAGACGTGAGGAAGCAGCCATCAAAAACCAGTTTTGACGTGTGGTGTAAGACACGCGAAGCGCGACTGTTGTAACAGGAGTTGGAGCTTCGCCGCGCGAGGAAAACAGCGTTGCAAACAAGTTTACAATGAGGGCGTGTGTGAGACAAGGTGACTGAATTTCTGTTGTCTTCCAAAAGTCCGGTTCACCGCGAGAAAATGAGGTTTCGGCTGCTCAAACGGAACCTGCTCACGCTGTTGGGTGTTTCCTTTGTAGTCGTGACTCTCCTGCTTACACGCGTGTTATTAGTTTCTGATAATGACACGAGCGGACCCGATAGTAACGTCGTTCAGATAAGTCAAGTCGTGCCTTCTTGCGACACGCCGAAGTTCGACTTTGGTTCGCTTCCAGAGTTGACGAAGTCCGTTTACAATGCCAATTACAAGCAGTGCGTGCGCAACGCGGATAAGTTCCCAGGGGAGCCTCGACTGGTGCTGGTTGTGCAGGTCCACAACCGGCCCGAATACCTCAGACTGCTCATAAGGTCGCTGGAGAAAGCCGCCGAGGTCCACAGCTTCCTCCTTATCTTTAGCCATGACTACTTTTCAGAGGAAATAAACGCCATTGTGCAAGGGATAACTCTCTGCAAAGTGCTGCAAATTTATTTCCCCTTCAGCACTCAGTTGTATCCCGTTGAGTTTCCTGGGAAGGATCCACGGGACTGCCCCCGGGACATATCCAAGGTCAACGCTTTGAAAACAGGATGCCTCAACGCAGCACACCCGGACTCCTACGGACACTACAGGGAGGCCTTCATCACTCAGACCAAACACCACTGGTGGTGGAAGCTGCACTTTGTGTGGGAGCGGGTGCAGGTGATGCAGGGCTACAGCGGCTTTGTGATCTTCCTGGAGGAGGACAACTACATCTTGCCGGACTTTTTCCATTACTATAAATCAATGATTGAGTTCAGGAAGAGCAGCTGCCCAGATTGCGACATGCTGGCGTTGGGCAACCACAATGGCCTGACTGATTTCAACAAGCTGTCCAACAAGGTGTCGACCACCGGGTGGATGTCCACGAAACACAACATAGGCATGGCCATCTCCAGGGAGGTGTACTACAAGCTGATGGGCTGCAACAACGAGTACTGCACCTACGATGACTACAACTGGGACTGGACCCTGCAGCACCTCTCGGGAGCCTGCATATCGAAGCCCGTCAAAGTGCTGGCAGCCCAGGGCTCCAGGGTTCTCCACACGGGAGACTGCGGCCTCCACCAGAAGGAGAACTGCCGGCCGGAGTGGGCCTCGCAGAAGGTGGAGGAGGGCCTCCTCGCGGCGAAAGACGGCCTCTTTCCTCCGTCTCTGGTGCTCAGTGGCGCGGAAGCGGCGGAGCACAAGGTGCACATGAAGAATGGAGGGTGGGGGGATGTTCGAGACCACATTCTATGCAATAACTACGCCAAACGTCTTTGAGCTGTGACTTTTCCCTGAGCAACGTGGGTAAAATGCTCATTGTTGTTCTGCAGATGTGCCATTCATACGTAACACTTCAGGGTTTCAGGGGCTGCGGCGGGTGTGCTAATATTCTGCTTCCGACTCGGTCTTCCAAGAATCGGGACCAAAACCCACGTCCGAGAGGGCTGCATATACACAGCTGGACTTCAACTTTGTTTTTTAAGTATTTTATTTTGAATCACCAAAGCTGCACAGTTGCCAAAGACTCCCTTGATATTTGTGTTGTGTTAATAATGCAAGCTCGGTCAGGCTGTTCAGTTT